GAATAAGTAGGTAAGGGACTTGGTTTTTAATTACACTAACATTTTTAATTCTTGGTGCTTGTCATCCTTCAAACAAAATGCTATGGACACCTGAATTTAGGTTAAGCACAAATATATTTATAGCAGCAAAGATAGATATTGTACTGTCATATAAATTGTTGATTCTCTTCTGTCTTGCTTTTAGAAATCCATACAGAGGCCAGATCTTACTGTGTCTTACATCAGCGGTTGTCATCCGGGGGGTACTTGGATGGCCCCAGGGGGTACGTGCAGGGAAGTAGTGCATGGTGGTGGCACAAAGTGCTGAATGGCAGTGGCAGCTGCCATGTGGAAGCTCCCCGCTGCCATGACTCACCACTCTGTGTCTCTGCCACGTGCCACTTCCCAGCCGCAGTCATTTCACCACTCCGTGCCACCATGCATCGCTTCCCCACAGCACCAGCTTCTCATCTGGCCCCCCTTCCACCCCACCAGTCTGGAAAGGGGTATGCTCCAGAAGGGGTACCCATGGAAAGGGGTACACTCCTTAAAAAAGGTTGAAAACTCGTATCTCACAAATTGCTTGTACGATCCATTCTTTTGTTTCTGGTCATATCTTTAAAACTTTACTTTAGGCCTTCGTCATACATCATGATTACTGTAATTTCCTCTTCCTCACAGGCGTTGTCAATAGTCATGTTTGTCAAACTATGTAAAATGCAGGTGCTGAGATCACCTCAGCTGCATATGGCTTTGACCTCATCACTCCCTCCATTGGCTTCCTTATCTTCACTATGTCAGGTACAAGATTTTTGTGGTGGTCTTCAAAGCACTATATGTTCAGTCCCCTTCTATATTTGTGTCCTATCTTATAATTTGCCAAACCCAACAGAGTGCTGTACAGCTGTGGGCCCGAAGCTAGGGGAGTACAATGAGATTGGGAGGAATGAGCTAAGGAGACTTGCATTGGCTGGCTTTTGGCTCTGCTGATTTATTTGGAAAAGAGAAAACAACTTGGAGATGTATTATGACTTCTGTGGAAACCTTTCATAGAAAAATCCCAAGCAGTATCTGGAAGGTGAGGAAGAGGCAGTCCTTTGATACTTCAACTCCCTCTGAATCCTGCTGTCAGGAAAATAAAGCTGGAAAGTGGTGGAGGCTAGAACTAATGCACAGATATGGGAATTTTTCTTGAGGAATTCTCACAAGAGAACTTTCTCTTTCAGAACTCCCATGTGTTTTAAAGTGAGAAGTGACAATCTGGCTCCAAGACCGTCTCCTTCTCCCTCTTGTTTATGAACTGTGTTTAGTGGGGACAGGAGGTGGGAGAGAGTGAGATTGAATATTGGTGGAGAGAGGAATAAGGTACAGATGCTAGAATGGAATCTGGAATTTGTTGGAGAAAGCTGAGGTAATGGAATTGTTGAAGGTGGTTTGGGAGGAAGTTTGGAAACTAGAATAGGGGTCAGCAACCCCCAGCACGTATGGCATGCAAGGCCATTTTTGCTTGGCACGCCATTGCCAGCCCTGCAAACAGCTGCTCTGGGATCTGGCATCAGTTGTGTACTGGGGCATGCACGTGCCTCAGAGCGGACAGTGGGGGAGGGGCCTGAGGCAGTGCAACTCCAGTCTCTCCCCTACTCCTGGCAGAGAGCTGATGACTGGGCTTCAGAGCCCAGTGCAGTGACTTGTAGCCAGCCTGGGCTCTGGGCAACTGCAGCAAGCAGCAGGCAGGCTGCAAACAGCTGCGCCAGGCTCCACAGCTCCGGCATCAGCTCCAAGCTGGCAACGACTGCACGCGTACCTCAGAGCGGAAAATTCCTCTGAGTTGGCACGTCTTAGCTGAGGTGAGAGACTCTTTAACAGCCAAAACCTGCCTGCCCAGAGGAATTTTCCATCTATTGAGTCATGAATGATGCTTGCCCCCAGCGGCTGGGGGGGCACGGTAGCGCTGGCAGAGGCAGGAACATGGGGGTGGCAACCACCTGCAGACACTGGCCTAAGCGGCCAGCGGCGATCGCTGGCGGTGTTGGCAACAAGGGGGAGGTGGTGGTGAGCAGTGACTGCCCGATAGGTGCAGCCAACACTGCGGTGCCTTTTTGTAGGTGGTACACCGCCACGCGAGGGGTGTGCGTGCACCCCTTACGCATCGCCAATGTTTTCACTCCTGTGTGAAATCCTGTGAAATATGAACTTTCATTTCTACCCAGGAGAACTTTTACAGTCTTTTCTCCAATGCCTGATGAAGGGTGTTTGTGCGCAAAAGCTTGCTATTGAAGACATTTTTTTTAATCTTGTTGGTCTAATAAAAGATATCACCTCTACCATGAACCCAGACTGACATATGTAAATGACATTCTTTGTACAGTTTAAGATCCTCTTCATCTTTTGGTAGACTGGGACTGTACTGTCATCTGTGTTTTCAAAGTACCTATTATGCATTGTTGCAATCTAAATAATTTCTACAGTTGCTTATGTTTTATGGCACCTTCTATATGTATGTAATCAGGATATTTCTGTAGGAAGAGAAAACAGTTGTTTTTTGTTGCTATCTTGTCTGGTACAGGTGTTGGCAGTGTTTTCCAGTGGTGGGCCAAAATAAACCAGCTTAGTTCGAAGGCAGGCCCACTCTAGGAGCTGGTCTCTGCGACTGCTCCCCACTGCCACTTCTTTGTTTCCCATTCAGGGTATAGAATCATAGAGCTGGAAGGGACCCCAAATGATTATTGGATCCAGCCCCCTTCATGAGCAGGAAAGACATCTGGGGTCAGATGACCCCAGCCAGGTGACTGTCCAGTCTTCTCTTAAAGACTTCTAGGGCAGATGTTTGCACCACCTCTGCAGGGAGCTTGTTCCATAGTCTCGACACCCTAGTTGTAATGAAGTTTTTCCTAATGTTTAGCCTGAAACTATCTTCCAGGAGTTTGTGGCTGTTGTTTCTAGTTTTCCCCCAGGGCGCCCTGGTGAACAGTTGTTCGCTGTGCGTCTGATGTATGCCTCTGATATAGTGGTAAGCCACAATCAGGTCCCCTCTCAGACTTCTTTTCTTTAGGCTGAAGAGTCTGAGATCCCTCAGACTCTCCTCGTATGGCTTGCCATGCAAGTCGCTGCTTCTCTGGACTCTTGTTGAAGTGCAGTGCCCAGACCTGGACACAGTACTCCAGCTGTGGCCGCACCAGTGTAGAGTAAAGCAGGAGAATCATGTCTTTGGATTTACTGGAGATGATTGATAGCATGACTAAAGTGCCTCGCCAAGGCTCAACAGAGTGGGCAAAATGGCCCACTGGTGAACACTGGCTTTCAGCTTCCAAATAACAACAAAGCATTGTGGGCTGGATCCAGGGCCTCTGCAGGCAGGATGCAGACTCTGGGTTGCAGGTTGCTGATCCTTAGTTTAGTGGTTAAAGGCCTATTTCCATTTTTGGCAGTCTTACCATTTGACAAGGCATTCCTTTTAATGTTGGTGTCAGTCTCCATGTGTGTAAAAATGGCTTTAAAACATGTCCACTTTGAAGTCTTTGGGAAGGGGCATTCAGTGTACTGAATACTTTTGAGAAATCAATGAATGTTGCTCTGAAACATGCTTCTTACTGAGGAGTAAGTGAATCTTTTTTAATTAATGGAACCTGTTCTGATTTACTTTTCAAATTTTAATTCGGTAGCATGTACAGGCATACCTCGTTTTATTGCGCTTCGCTTTATTGCGCTTCGCAGATACTGCGTTTTTTTACAAATTGGAGGCAAGACCCTCCACCAGCAAAAAGATTACGACTCACTGAAGGCTCAGATGATGGCTAGCATTTTTTAGCAATAAACTATTTTTTTAATTAAGGTATGTACATTTTTTTTAGACATAATGCTATTGCACACTTAATAGACTACAGTATAGTGTAAACATAACTTTTATATGCACTGGGAAACCAAAAAATTCGTGTGACTCGCCTTATTGCGATATTGGCTTTATTGCGGTGGTCTGGAACCGAACCCGCAATATCTCCGAGGTATGCCTGTATTTTTGTTATTCACATGCTACTTTTTAATTTGATGTAGTTGTACCACGCTGATACTGCTAAAATATTTTTTGCTCAAAATCATGGGTCTTTATAGACCTAGATTTGAGTCCATGTTTACATTTCAAAGAAAACATTTATTTTGCATTTAGTAATTTTGTGGGGTTTTTTAAAAAGCATCCCTGCATAATTTATCTGTTTCTCCCTTGCTGGCTTTTGTAACTTCAGTCATAAGGAAAACACTGCATTATCAAAATTATGTGTTTTAGTCTGCTGATGAATTTAGGAAAACATTAGGCAAATATTATGTGAATACTGTTATAGGATAACCTGGTTGCTTGGTGCTAGTGCTATTGTGAGCAATTATACTTTATTCCCAGGTTCAAGTTCAGAGAATGAGGAATATTGTGATAGAGTTCTATTTTTTATAAGAATTATGGAAGTATCAATCTTTGGCTATGGTAGCTGCCTTGAAAGGTTTGGAGGAATACCCTTTTTGTCCTCATGGATGGAGGATTTGAATGCAGTACAAGAGTGAAATGATGGGGTGAGGGGGAGGGAAATAATTCTACTATAGAGGAACATTCAAAATTTTAAAAACCTTACAAGTTGTGAGCTAATATTCTGTGTTCCTGCATTTAGGGAGGCAGCTCTTAGAGCATGGAATGGAAAAAAAATTGCTAGCCTTATTTTCCTTTTAAAAATCTGACTTTTTTTAACCCAATACTCTGTTTAACTGCTTTGAAACAATGATTGTGGCAGATTTTAGTACAGAAGAACAAAACATGCATACCTTAAAAGCACAAAATGGATTTTTAAAAAAATCAGTGGATGTAAATGGCTGAATTTTGGTATTAATTACACCAGCACAACTCTGCTGATTTGAATGGAGCTGTGCTGGTGTACCTGGCAGCTCAGACTGCACAAGATTTAGCTAGTTTTCCTTTTATTCTGTTTACCCATATTTATAGAAAATAAAAAATTAACTCACTGTCAAACTTTCATTTTTAGATAAATGAATTGGTGGATGCCCGTGATGTCAGCATTGGAGCCTGGTTTGAAGCTCACATAGAAAATGTTACCCGAGCAAAAAAGGGACATAAGAATGGTAAAGCTCAAGCAAAGAGTGGCAATTCTTACAAAAGGACTAATGGAAACTTAAGCCAAGATCATTCTAGAGAAAGTACAAATAATTTGGACAGTACACCTTCCACATCTTATTCAGACTGTATGGACACTGATGAAGAAGTTATTTATCATATCAAGTATGATGAGTAAGTGCTCCTGCTATTATTTTGAGGACACCACGTGAGTTTTATTTGGTTTGTATAAACCAAGAAATTTGTTGAAGAAACCTGGATCCGAAAGAGCAAGTTCAAAATTACAACCAAGGAAACAGTATTAAAAAGCTGTAACACCTTTCTGTTGGATATAATGAATATCCTGGGAGTGACAAGATTTTTCTTGTTCCTGAGTTCCTATGAAGTATTAACTTTTATGTCTCACCTTTTTATGAAACTTAATCCCTCTCCCCTAAATAAGGAAGTGAAGCCATAAATCAGATTTGCTGTTGCTGTTTTCTATGTAAAACATCAGTTGAGTATAAAGAGAGTATAATATTTCTTAATTTACATTACACCTATTGTAGTTCAAAGCAAGTGTCTCATGGGAGCAAAATCTGGTGCTTGAATTGGATGAATTTGGTATAACAGTAACACTTATGCACAATATTATCAGTATGCATTTTAGGTTATGCCTTTGTATGGTGACCCTGCCAACTGAAGGCACTTGAAGCTGATGTGAAGATACTAAATTGGGTTTTGTTTTTTGGTTGAAAGTAAAAACAAAGCCCCGAAGCTACCCTATGGTAGTATAGATACCATTGCAAAAGTGTCTGATTATAGAATTGGATTCTAGTTATTTAAAAACATCCTACTGTTTCAGCAAATCAAACTTCAGAAACTAAACTGATAGCATTTATTTTTTTACATTACTAAGGTAGTATGAAACATGGCATTTCTTTGTATTTGTTTTCATGATAGAGGATAATATATTTATCCTTATAGAGGTGCATATTGTATGTGTATCTTTTGAAGATTAGTCTTCATCAGTTAGTTTCAATGGAAACTTTAAACAGCATCTGTTTGATGTTTAGTTTAACATTTTATACAGTACAATAAAACAATTATTACTAGAAGAAGTTAAACCTTACTTGTTACTAGTTAGGGATGTGAACAGAACATCTTTTAACTATTCTAAGTATTAGGTAAATATGTTTTTATACACTTACCTCCTAGGATGATACAGTTCTTTTTGTCTTTGTTTAGCTCAGTTATATTTTTATGTATATGTCCAAGTAATTTTTTGTGTATATATGTAAAAATTACCATTTTAAATGTGTCCTTGATCTAAAAAGTTTTAAAAGTTGCAAGAAACTCCTGCAAAGTAACTTCAAATTGCTGTAGAATGGGGAACACGTAAAATACTGTCATTGTAACAGGCAAATTAGCATTGTGCTGTGAACTTTGAGACCAGTTTTAGAATGCACTTTTAGTTTGTTGGCATATATAACTCCCAGTTTTAATGTTGATACTGCAGAGTATTAAAGGGAGGAAAAGAGGTACAAACAAAAGCACAAAAAGGTGTGTGGAAATGGTATTTGTGGTCACTGGAATGAAATTATGTTCCCCCTCAGTTTTTTTGCCAATTAATGAGAGTTAAAGAATTGCTGGAAAGGGGAAAGCAACCTTTGAATTAAAAAGTATAGTTAGGAAGGAAGATAATGTGGATAGATGTACCACATCTAAAAATGCATTCTACTAGTCTGCACCTTGATGTTTGGCTGTATATTTCCAGCAGGTGGAGACAGTCAACTTTTGGCTTCTGATAATCAACAGCAGCTTTTTAATCTTAGCCAGTGACCATCCCACTGCATTTTTCTTTTTTTTAATGTTTTGCTGGAGTTGTGATCATGTACCGTTAGTGGGCTAGACTTGATTAACATTTTAAAATGTGAATTCAGTTATTTTTAGGCTGATTGGCAAGCAAAATGTATACATCTTTCAAGTAGCATAGAGAGTTTCAGGTAAAAATTATATAAATACTTTACAACAATGATTCCCTTCCCCAATAACTTGTAATATCCTGTGAAAATAAAAACCAGTTTGACACACTGGGCAAGAACTATCACTGCTCAAAAACAAGACCACTAAAATTAAATAGGAAACAGCACTTAATATTTTTACAAGAATTATATTTGCTAGAATAATAAATTTTCCCATGTTTTATGTAGGCATGAGTTTTAAAAGAGGAAAAAAATATTAGAGAAACACTACAGTACTATTAAACTTTTAAAGTAAGAGGATATCTTCACTTTATAAATACGATGATGTCTGTGATAGCAGGACATAAGAGTGGTTCATTCTAGCTTTGTGTTGCTAAATGTAAATAGATACAACTGTACTAGCTCCATCTCCCAGTAAATAATCTTCTGAGGCAGGTGAAAGTTAAACTGTGAAATACTAATAAAAAATATTTTTTCACCTATAGTTTTCTCCAGATGAGTACAGGTTGGTCTGTTGGGCCAGCATTCATGTTCTTTTTGTCTTCTCTCCACACATTAGATGCAGATACAAGATCTCTCATCCTTTTATCAACCCTTTGTAAACTGATTATCGGCTTTGTGCACTGCTACTTGCGATAGTATGGCAGTGTTGCAATCCAGATGTTCTGTTTTAGTTAAAGAGATGCAGAAGAATAATTTTTAATTGAGAATTATTATATTTAATCATGATGGAAAAGTCCATTTGTTTAAAGAAAAAGAAAACTTCACTAAGACATTTTTACTCACTCTCAAGATCCCATTCTACCAAATGATAAATGCTTATTCGCATGTTCAATCATGTCATTGAAGCTTAAACTAACATATATCTAAACAGGGTAGATCCTAATGGCACAAGCACTTGCATTGGTAAATGTGACTGTCCTGTCTTAGGGCCCACACAATCTATAAGAAATATTCAGGAAAATGTCTGTGTAGGGGAGGGGAAATGACAGCCCCTCTTTACATCCTCACTTGGCCCTCTTTTTTTTAAATTTTTTTTAAATAGTATTTATTGCAGAAGAGAAAAGGTACATGTTATATCTTCTGGGATGCTTTTTTATTCTGTGCTCATGAAGTGCTCTCATCAGTTGAGCTTTGTCTGTCCTGGGGAGTTTTCATTAAACACCAGCAGACCTAAAAGCAGTTTAAGTTATTGCCCTAGAAATAGTTAAATTTACACAATATAAGTTGTGTGCCAGTTTATGTTCTCTAAAAGCAGTTGGTTACTGCTGTTGTTATTAGTTAATAAAGTTATCATTAGTATTGTAAGCTCTAGTCAGGGTTGGGGACCCTATTGTTCTAGTCACTATATGAACACTGTACTAAATATTTACATTTATGTTAGACTTACATTTTGGAATTGCGTCATCCTAGCCACGTACAAAACATTAAGCTTTTTTTCTGTAGGCTCTTGGGAGGGCTTAGGCCAGAGTATAAAAAAAAAAAAAGAGTAATGCAAGTAAAAAAAATAGTACTCTTTTTAGGAACATGTAAAAAGGCTGGTTTAAGGATTTTCAACAACCAAAAAACCCAACATATTTTTGATTACTGTCTCTAGGATGTCCACTCTTAGTTGGAAGGAAAGCTAAAAGGAAATTAATTTTGTAGTTAATAAAGGGATGCTTCTCTGATAGGCTCAAGGAGGTATTTGATGTAGATTTGCCATGTGAGGTTCCATATTTGTCACAGGGGTGGCCATCCTGTGGTGGTATGGCAGCCTCTGTGTGTGGCATGTAGCAAAGCGGGGAGGGGACAGTGGCTGATAGGACAGGAAGCAAAAAGCAGAGCAGCAGATCAGGCCTAGCACAGGGAGCAGAAAACAGTGCAATCAGGTGGGCTGGGGAGGGGGATCAGCATGGTATTCAGGGAGGAAGTGGGTCTGATTTGTGGCGCACATGTCAAAAGGGTTGTCTCCCACTAGTTTACCATGTTTCTTAATTGGAAGATAGGGTTTTTTAGAAATTATTTTTAAAAAATCATAAAATATGTAGGTGAAACAGTTTGAAATGTAATGAACAATACTACAAAGCTTCGAGAGTTGGGACTTGTGGTAACTGATTATTTTCTTTCTGTGCCAACACCAGTTTATCTAGGAAGAATTCCAGGTTTCCTTTAGTGAAGATGCATAAAAATGTAGATCACTCAGTTGTTAAAGAAATAGTGAATGAAATCTTCAGGAGGATGCATGGTTGATAAATTTTGGGAACCTCAGGCATCTGGGTTTATATGGAGTACCCATTGTTTTTATTTGTTACTGGCCATCTTGGAAGTCACAGAATAGGAGAAAAGGCATGACTCGTGACTAGTCCAGGTTCTCTCTGTAGGCCTTTTGAATTATCTGGTTAGAAATTAAGCCTTGTATCTTATGTTTAATGTAGTAGTGAAGGCTACTTGGAGCTTATTGAATTTTTCTACTGTGTAAGATAATACAAAGGAGTATGTAGACTGCGCTCTCAGAAAACAATACCATCATGGACAAAAAATTCAACATAAATGTGATTGCTTTTTAATCAACTCTTGTTACAGTGATCTCAGTAATTTTTGTTATGTAACTTTGGTGTATAAGATGCACCTTAATTTTAAGACCTCACCAAGAAAAATTCCATGATTTTTTTTTGTATTTAGCTACTGTTCACCAGCTTTAATTGTGTAGTGAAATAGCCAGCCTAACTGTGTTACTTTTTGCTTGGATATAGGTTTTTTTGATCAACAGACTCAGTTGAAGGCATAGGAAAAGAAGTGTCAGGTCATTATTTGCATCCTTGCTCTGTGGTACCACCCTAATGATTCAGTTATGTGGTTTGTTGTTGCTTTCCTACATTTTGTAAATATGAATTTGAAGTGAATTTTAGGGCTTGAGCTGTGCATTTCATTGCTGCCTTTAATTCCACTAAATTTTATTTTTTATGAGAATTTTGGAGGATCTGCTGCCCCATGCTTAATAGAGTCCCTATCTGTGCTTTGCAACCCAACAACTTTGACATCTGATTAGCATTCTGTTTGCTGGTAGAATGTATCAGTCAGCAGTTTCCCATTTTACAGGTGAAGAGATTTCCACAAATTGGAAACAATAAACTAGTGGTAGAACAGACTAATGGTTTGAGGACTGTTTCTGGATGTTTGAATAGGAAGTTCTGTGAAATAATTGTAACATTGGTTAGGTTACTGATT